GAGAGAGAGGGTGAGAGAGAGAGAGGCAGGGGGCACGAGAAACAAGCAAGAAATGCAGAGAGTGTGTTGTTGTGCAGGTGAAAGGGATGCCTACATATATGCAGTGGCATACATCACTACGAGCGAAGGTCCAGACTATATAGATGCTGCATGCTCAAGGCCTCGGTGAGGGGTCCCATGGCAGCTCCACAGAGCCGGGAGCTCTTCCCGGAGGACGCCAAGTACTCAGCTCTAAGTCACAGCTCGTGCCACGTGAAGGCGGCAGAAGGCGGCAGCACAGCTTGCGGAGGTCGGAGATGCTGACTATTCCGCACTGAGCATGAAACTCAATTCCACACTGACCGGCTCTGAACACATTGTTTGGCCCGGCTTTCGACCAGTCATAATGCCAGTGTGTTCAAACACGAGGTCTCTTGACCACTGGCGCAACTGGTCACTAACAGTACCATCTAGCCAGCTGTCAAGCGGTCTGGCATTTGCTAGCTGGCAGTCGGAGCGGGCAAAGCTTCGTCGAGGAGCAGTCAACATGCAACGCCAGAGGATGGGCACAAGCATACTCTCTTTAACTTTTTGCCGAAACACTGATTTAGTCCACATGCCATGCATGAATCAAAACCCTCAGATGTGCCCACCCGGACATCTGTAGCTGCTGTCTTACGTGTGAAACGCTGCTAACGTGGAGGGCGAAGAGACACCTTATCAGAGAGATGCAGAATTGGACATGGTCTTCTGTGAAGTCGATGCCCATTCTGCCCCTCCACGTGGGGTTGCTTGGAACAGGTGCTTCCACCTTGCCTGCTCAACGCTTGGAGGAACCTCAGCACATGTGCGGCCCGCGGAAAGATTCGGAGGCAGAGGCTCTGAGAAAGTGCTGTTAAAGGCCCTCCGCGTGGGCTTGCACAGAGGCTGAGCCGCCTGCCGAAACTCAGCAAGTCAGACCTGACTCTCACGTGTTTCGTCTTGCACCCTGCCTCGGCCTAGGCAAGAAGCACCAACCCTTGCCCGTCTCTGTCCGTGGTAAGCTCGAGTCAATGTTTGTGGATTCGCACTTCTCTCCTCCGCCGCGAGTCGGGCAGCCTGCTCTCTCACGGGCTGTGTTGTAGCTATGGGTCTAGTTAGGTCTAGATGATTTCTTCGATTTTCGATGATTTTGGCTCGCGGGCGAGTTGTCATCAAGCCGAGGACATTGAGGTGAACTTGAGTAGCGCCGGTCACGGGTGCACGCCTGTGCCTACCGACCTCATGCCAGAAACCACCCAAATCATTCATTCCGCTCTCCGGCCTTCTCTTGCTCTGCTTTTCTTCTCTGCTCCTCTGCTTGGCGCTGCCTTGCTTCCAGGCGCTTTGCTCGTGGGAATTCGCGGAGGCTTGAGGAGTTGGGGAGTCAGACGGGCGTCCGAGCTTGCGACTGCTCAAGAAGCTTCGAGGCTTCTTCTGCTTCTGTCTGCAACCCTTGTTGTTTGGGGCCGGGCTCTCAACAATGAGAAGTCCTAGCGTATGCCACGGATTGGACTCCTTGGACCCCTTTAAAACTAACCTTCCATCTTTTGTGCTCGGTTGTTTTACTTCTGAAACCCAGAAAAGCCCAATTCCCTTGGCTTCTCGGACTCGGGGCCCGAGCTCCTCGGCGACGAGCCGCTCTTCGATCTGCGGGGCAACCCAAAATGGGGTAGTTCTGTAAATTAAGGTCCCCTTTTTTGGCTCCCCAATATAGTATCTATGAAGGCCCTTTAAGGGAACCCTGACCTCGAGAATTAAACGAATGGTGAATCCCAGCAGTCCCGTCCTTGCCTGGCGTTGCTGCTCCTTGCGTCGCCGCTCCGCAGCCTGACGCCGCTGCTCCGCCTGCAGCCAAGCATCGGCAGCACAGGAGATAACGAGATCCTGGATCATGCCTGGCCCGTAGGGCAAAGAGTCGCCCAGATGACCGACCACTGAGTCCGTCACTCGACGACTCTCCTCCTGACGCCAGAGCTCCTCTGCCTGCCACCCGCCGACCATGCAAAGTGCTGCAGATGCCCAGCTGACAGCGCATACAGCAGATGTGCCATAAAGTGCGAGATGCGCGAGCTGCTGCATGAACATGTACCAGAAGCCCAAAGCAGGAATTTCTGAACAAACTGCGGCATGGCCCCATGTCGCCTTCCGCCTTTCTTCCAACCAGCGCCGGACTTCTTCTGCCTGATCATGGGCAGCTTCGTCCGCCAGGAGTCGCATATGCTTGCCGCATGATGCACTGTATGACTGCCGTAGCCGTAGCCCTGTTCGCGCACGGGTATATATTCGAAAAGCCCTTTTCTTGGAACAACCTCTGCCCTGCAAGGTGCACTTCAAGGGCTGCCTCAAGGTTCGGGTTGCAATGCCGGCATCTCCTGGTGTTCACTGGTTCTGGTGCTGACGGAACCTGCCTCGGCCTGCCGTCGCTTCTCTTCGATCTGCTGCTGCTCTTGCCACCACCGTTCCTGGCGCTGTCTTGCATGTACAGTTCAATGCAAAGCCTTTGGGATCACTTCACTGCCTGGTTTGAATTAGGCAGCAGGATGTCCCTCGCCTCACTTACACTACCATACACATGCTGCCGTCTGCTGGCTCGCGACGGAAGCGTGCCATAATAGGCACATTCAAGCCCTGCAGCCCAAGCCCGCACCAACAAGTCCGATGTCCACCACTGATGGTCCTCCGCCAGTCGGCGTTGCTCCGTCTGCCTCTAGTCTCGTCACAGCGGCTGGAGGAGCAATTGGGTTGAGAACCCCACCTTCGGGAGTCTACATCCTAACGCTCAACGCGGTGTCGATAGCCAGCTTGTTTCGGACCCACGCCGGACATATCGTACGGCACAGGAAATCGTCATCTGGGCAAGTTCCATGCGCAAACGCATCTGTCTGAATCGGCACCCGCTCCCCAACCTGATACCCCGACTCCCCATCCGAACCCGAAGCTGACTTCCAACCTTTCACTAAAATCTCTCAGGCAGCTGCCAGCGCTCAGCCTCCATACGACGCTGATGCTCGGCCTTCGCTCTGACTTCAAGAGCCAAGTAGAAACTTGCATTGCTCAGAGACTACTTTGAAAAAACCTTGCGCGTGCCTTAGAAAGCTCGCGCTTGTCTTCTCAAAGCTGTCACCAACCGCGCACAGGTTTAATATCTGAAAGCCAAATTAAGGCGCGCTCCCACGCCCGGTCTTGTTCTTGCTTGTGCCTCAGTCACGGTGGCATGATTTACGAGCTCTGTCTTCAGCCTACACCGGTATACCATGAGCCAGCCTGGACATAGGACAGAGTGATGTCACACGTTTTAAATCATTTATAAGCATCTTAGCACTCATAGAAATCAACCACCGAAGTGGTACTTTCTGACTAGACATGGGGATGACAGCAGATGCCGTAATTTGCTGCGTCAAGCAGCTGCTGCTCTGCCTGTCGGCGAGCCTCTTCTTGGCTCTGCTGCACGGCCTGCTACGCTGGCGCGGGTTGTACATATGGCAGCATGTCTATCCACTGTACTGCTGGGTTGTCACTTCTACTTCTGCACCGTTTTTGTGTGTTTAACTGCGCCAACACATATTTTTCCCTTCATATCATGATATTGCGACTGAATTGAAGCATGGCATATTGTGTGGCATGCTGTTTTGCAACGTGAACCGTATGTAACTTTGCATTTACACATTGTGTCGCTGTAAACAACTTCATGAAGCCACGACTAGACAAACTCACAAGCATAGATCCTCAAACAGTGTAGAACACCAAGACGACCATGACGACCAGCAGCGGGCCAGGAGGAGACCAGCAGGAGAATTCAACAGACCAGAAAACTCGCAGATCACCAGGAAATAAGCGGGAGACGATCAGGAAATCACCAGGACACCACGGCCAAAATGCCAGGGTGAGGCCAATGCACGGCTTCGTTGAGGTGGCCGGGGCAGGGAATTCCCAGCTCGTCGCAGATTTGCTTAGCTATCGTTTCGCAGTCATCCAACTCCTGAGCTGCGAGTTCTAGCGTGCCCCACCCCTTGTTCTGCCAGGAGAGTGTAGGCTCTGTCTAGCAGTCCATGGTCCGCTCCTCCTTGACCATGTCCCGGGACTAGCTCCTGTCGTCCCGATAGCAAGGAACCATCCGTCTCTAGCAGATCCAGGGGGCCTCCATGGGCTCCGGACTGCTTTGCACGACTTCTGTCGGGCTTCCTTCCCTCGGGATCCGACATAGTGACAAAGCGGGCTATTAGCCCCGTTCCCCTTCCCCCTACCTCTTGAAAACAGCCTCCCGTTAGGAGGCCTCTTGGCCAGAATGGCCACAGCCATTTGGAGACCTCAATCACATAGCAAACCCCTTCGACGTTTGCTTTAGCGATACACCTTCGATTTTTCTGGGCTATATCTCTTGGGGGCTAGCATGCACAGTCGTAGCGCGGGCACGATTGCAAACACAGGCGCAATTTCTGGAGTGTGTTCTGTTCTAGCAATTTTGGCTAAATGAGAAACGGCAGCAGCAGCACACATATTCGTGTGCTTAAGCAGCGTGCGAACACAGTTTGGCACAACAAACCTAACTGCATGCAGGAATGATTTCAGCTCACCAAACCTGCCCAATGCACTAAGCTGGACAACCAAACGACGATAAGCAAGAGCATGCATGCTACAAACGTATCAGGCTATCAACAAAAGGAAGGACTAACAGAAAGATGCATCGGAAGAAAATGCCAATTTAGGCACTTTCAAAGACAACCGTACAGGCTGACCAAACTGTGTCGGCACAGCTCTGCGAGACAGTGCATGCAGGCAAGCATTCACATGAAATTCCTCACCATGCACCCAGAGGTTGCAAAGAAATGATCTGACATATAACCGGACATAGTGCAATCATGCGATTCGACATTGGTTTTTGTTTCCGTGTAGAAGGCAAGAACAGAGACGGACATGCAAAGCTGGTCAACAAGTACACGCTGACATGTGGGCAAAACTGGCAAAGTGAAAAAACATGGATCCTCAACGGCACAGCACCCAAGGACACATGACTTGATGTGTGGTTTGCTTGTGTACGGCCCAAAGAGAAAGAGAAATATGCACTAACACTTGGTATCAGTAGAAAACGATGTGGTAATACAATGTGCTCATATAGGATGCGGAGTTTACCATCACGCAACCCATGATTCCGAACAGGACCCCGGTACCCTTCTTCTGCCGTGTGCCTGCCACCGTGCTTCCTCTTCTGCCCATAGCTCAGCTTGCTGCTGCTGCCAGCAGGCCTCCTCTTCCTGGCCCAAGCTTCTTTTTTGCTGAGGGCTCATGTTGGGCTTTTGTTTGGGTTGCTTTGCCAGATCAGGCTATTGGTACGATGACAGTCGCCATGGGCGTGGCCACAATTTCCCAGCGAGGCCATCGGGACAGCACAAGGCCTACATACACAAGAATATTCCAGGAGAACGCTGAAGCTGCCAAGAGGGCCCCATGAGTCCTATTTGCGGACACCATTCGGCAGTCCTCGCGCTCTGCCTGTTCGAGGTGCCACTGCCTCATGACTGAAACTATTACTGCTGTTGACCACCGCCAATAGTATAGCTTCACAGGCATGATGGGTCTTTTGGGACCTGAAGCCTGACATGAAAGTTTTGAAGAAGCTCTTCGGCATTGATGAGGGGTCGGGTGGACCGAAAGGGGTCATGGAGCACGGGCGAAAGGTATCTTGCGCAGGCCGCAGCTGTCGTGGACCCTGGAGAAAGTGATCGCTTGCGAACCCGCCACGACTCAGCCTTTGAGCGGCATTGAAGTTTCCGAGAAGCTTCAAGTAACAACAGCCAACTTGGGTGAGTTGTGTGGCTGTAGCACAGGCTCGCTAAAGCAGAGGAGAACAACCAGGAGCATCATCGGGTTGAGAAGTCCGGCAAATGTGGCTACATGATGAAGCTCATGCAGATGGCACCGGTCAGAAGCTTCTTTCTGTTGCAATGTTGGTAATGATGGTGATGGTGGTCATCGCCAGGCCATCGACGACGAGGACAGCCAAAGCAAAAAACCTGAAAGGCTACGGCTACACTCTAAACCTTATGTAGAGTTCAGCCCTTTCGAGAAATCGGGGCCCCGAGCTCCTCCAGCTGCCTCCGTGCCTCCTCCTCGCGCGACTCGCGGATATATCTTGATGTGTCGGTAGACTATGACTATGTTGGTATGACCCGAATCTTCAGATTCATTTGATCAACAGGATGATTAAATTAAGTGTTGCTGGTAGTATTCACGGTCACGTAGGCAGCGTTCCACGGCGGCCAGTCGGGATTTCGATTCTTACACTGGCACAAGGCAGGAAAATCTTCACGAGAACTGGTTCCAATCTACACAAGCACTGCTGTAATCACAATCTCGACTTGGACAGTTTTACCCTGCAGAACTAATCACTTACATAATATTGCCCAAACAAACAAACACACAAACACATCAGTCAAGCAGCGTAGCGCGTGCTTTCTCTTCGCTTGTTCCATTTCAAGTGACATCTTTGCTCTTCAACTAAGCGCTGTAATGAATCTGTCAACCCTCGCTAGCACCAAACTCGACCAATGTCACCGATGTCCCAGATTGAATCGCAATTACTACCCGCTTTCTCTGGTCTGCGCAAGTCTGAAGGCTTCACTCCCGCCCCAGATTTAACGGACAACGCACAAAACCCCCAAGTGCAGATGCACCTGACACACTGAGAACACACGACCGGAGGTCTTGCCACAAATCAAAACTTTTGATTGTGGCGCACAAAGCTGAAACTAGTGCTAAATTACAGGAGTGAGAACAGATGTATGGTAGGACTTGCTAGGATGCTTTGTTGTTATAGAAAATCAGTTTCAACATAAACCGTTGAAAAGCTCGACGAAAGCCCCACAAAGAAGACTTCCGAACAGACCTAAGTGGACGTTATCATGGTTGGCCCATGGATGCTCTGCGAGGCCGCATGGAATCTGGGTTGACGTTATCATGGTTGGCAGAGAACGGACAGGGCCTGGGTGGACGTTATCATGGTTTGCCAAAAATGACAAGGGTTCGTGCGATCTCGATCGAGGCTGCAGGAGACGTCTGTCCTGTAAAACGCAGTACGGGAGGAACCTGTCTGAGTGCTCCGGAACGCTCGGTCGGGAGGCTAAAGCCTACGAGAAAGGCCCTCTATTCAGCCCATTTCAACCGCAGCCAAACAATTGTTGCAAACTCCCTCTAAGCCCTTATAAGCCCCTTTAATAAGCCTTCTGAACCTACGGAAAAGGCCCCCGATTCCGAGTGTCTGGGATGGTCCTGGCGAGCCTGGCGCGACAGGTCGGAGTCCTGAGAGGCAGTGGCTTTCTTCGACGGGGCCTTGGGGACGTATTGGGGCTATGATGCGCAAGCGTGCGCGGGGTGTGTCTAGAGAGAGACAGAGAGAAAGAGAGAG